AAAAAAAGACAACTAGTAATATCACCAAAATATTATATAACCAAAATAAAAATGCAATGAGAAAGTATTTTACAAACATCACACCAAAAGGGGAAATAGAAAAACATATACCCAAATTAAAAGATACAGTGGAATCATAAATGAAAGATATGATCAACTCAAAACATCAAAGAATTTGTCTGAAAGAGGTGGCTCAGTGGTTGAACTTCGACCTATGAACCAGGAGGTCAAGATTTGGTTCCATGTGAGGGCAGAGGCCGGGATTGAAGGCTGGATCCCTGATCGTGCAGGAAGAAGCGGATGTTTCTCTCTCCCTCTTCCTCTCTGATATCAATAAAAATATACTTTAAAAATAGTAATTAAATAATCTAAGAATTTATAAATAAAGCATTAAAATTTTAATTCCTTATAATTTTGATTCAGAGAAGCCAACAAACATGTGGAAATGTTGAGAGAATTTTAGGAACTCCTAAGACACTAACAAATCGACCACCAAGGCAACCCCAAAGAGACGGAATAGTGAAAAGGAGTAGGTAGCTTATAAAAACATTAATAGTTTAAGATCCTGACAATTGGAGAAAGTGATATACAAATGCAAATAGCTCACTGAATTCTAAATAGAATGAATATAAACATGAGAACAGATAAAAAACAATGAAAATACCGACCCCCAGAATACTATTCTAAAAGCATATAAAAAATAATTCCTCATGGAACAGACAGCTCATCTAAGATCATCAGAGGGTTTCTAAGTAGAAAACTAGTGGGGGGGGCGGGGAAAGGGCACGAGATAAAACACGGAACTGTTAAATGAACAAAAACCATCCAACAAGAATACTGACAAAACAGATAAACAACAATGGAGAGGAAACAACTTTTTCTACTCTGAAACTTCCTCATTATTAGACCTTCTCATTATTAGACCTGCCCTATAAAAAATCCTTAAGAAATATGATTCTGGAGTTAATTTAAAAATTCTACACAACACTAACATGAACATATAAAGATGCCTTATATTTGGAAAAATATACAGAAATATAAAAATATGTGGTGTTCTAGGAAAGAAACATATTATTTTGATTTCTCTTTTGGAACCTTGGAAAATAAATGAAATTGTCCGACTAGAGTGGCTCAGTGGTTCACGGTTGACATGAGTTGATTCCTGGTCAGGGGACATGCCTGTGTTGGGGGCTCCATCCCCAGTGAGGGGCTTGCAGGAGACAGCCAATCAATGATTCTCTCTCATCACTGATATATATCTATATATCTATTTCTATATCTCTCCCCATCTCCTTTTCCTCTGAAATCAATAAAAATATATTTTTTAAAAATAAAAGGAATAAAACCCTAAATATCTGCTAGAAGATAGACAACGTAAAAGATAATGTGATATCAAAAAAAAGATAAGTGATATCAATAACTTAAGTCGGTACAGGGGTAGAGATGACAAGTGGCACAGTTTTTGTATCCAATTGACACAGTGAATTTAATTATATTGTGATAGCTTTAAAAAATTTTAAGTAGCTCTCATAGTCACAACAAAAACAGAATAAAATAATCTCTGTTAACAGGTGATAGAATTGTGTATGGCAAATCAAAGATTCCACATTTCTAAAAAATATATATATATCTATTCAATGAATTTCTCAAAACACGGTAAATAAAGCCAACCCACAAAGTTAGCTCTGTTCCTGTACAATAACAGAAATTAATACAAAAATGACAAATTAAGTGTGTTAATTACATGAATAACAGCATAAAGAGAAATAAAATAATTAATAGTTTACTTCATGAAGAAGGTGCATGATTTGCATGCTGTAAAGTATAAATACTGCTTGCTGCCACCGTACTTCTAGGTACAGATTGGAAAATATTCACGGAGGATCTGAAAGAGCCATTTACACATTTGTGTGCTTTATAACGTTCTTCACAAGAGCCTGCATTAGATGGAAGCAACTCAAATGTCCATGGATAGTTGAATGAGTGACGGGATTTACCATCACACACAATGGAATACTCTTCTGCCATAAAACATAAATAAATATTATCACCTGATATCACAAAGCGAAACGTTAATGACACTTTTTTTTCTAGTCCACCCCAGGCCCCCCAAAGCCAAGGCGCTCAGGAAAGTCCCTGTACCCCCAACACACACACACTCCATCCCATCCCAAGCCTTGTAGGACTGGCTCTCCCAGGATCTGTAGGGCTCCGGAATGGGATTCAGTGAAAGCCCATCACCACTGACTGGTCATTTTTTGCACATTCTCCAGGGAGCCAAGGTCCCTCCTGGGGTCTTATACCTACACCTTAGAGGCCTTATCTCTCTCTCCCTGAAACTGACATTATTGGTTAGAAAACTTAGCAACAATAAGACTCCAGAGTGTTTCTTTTCCATGGCAAGAGCTCAAGCTCAAATGGAGCCGAGGGATTGCTAGCTCACTCCTTCCTGTTCGGCATGTCTTTAACATCAGCAGAACATCTCCATGAGTACCACATCTCTTTCTGTGTGCTCTTATGGGCTTTTATGACACTTATAAGTCTTCGGGCAATTTACTAGACCATTGCTTGTGTTAGTATTACACCTTGATCAGAGATGCAACTACTGTGGCTTTAACATAATCAACATAGCTGCCATAGCTCCAGCCATCACATCCACATTCAGGCAGTAGGAAGAAAGTGGGGTGCTGTCCTGGAAGCCCCATCCAACTACTTTCAACTACACCTTACTGGCCACTCTTATTTGCTAGGGAGTGGAATATTTTAGCTGGGCACATTTCTACTCCCAATAAAATTAATCAGGGATCTGTGTTGAGCAGGATATTTGGTAAATAAATCACAATCTTGCCCTGCTACTTTTTATTATTATTATTTTTTGAAATATGTTTTTATTGATTTCAGAGAGGAAGGAAGAGGGAGAAAGAGATAGAAACATCCACGATGAGAGAGAGAATCATGGATTGGCTGCCTCCTGCAAGTCTCCCACTGGGGATCGAGCCCACCACCCGGGCCTGTGGCCTTGACCGGAATCGAACCCGGGACCGTTCGGTTCACAGGCCGACGCTCTATCCACTGAGCCAAAGCAGCTAGAACCCTGCTACTTTTTATACCTAAGTAAAATAAGCCTCTTCCTCCTTGGAGATGTTAACTAACTCACTCAAGGTCAATAGCTATAAGTGGTGAAGCCAAAGTTGGAATATGGGCTTTCTGACTCCACGGCAAGTGCCAAGGAAAAGAGGCCTGTAGAAGTCCAACTTGCAATGATGACGCTCAGAGCCACCAGCGACACTTTTTCACTGAAGCACACAAGTCACAAGAGACAGATACTACAGGATTTCTCTCAGGTGAGTAATCAAATGTAGTCCATGTTATAGAAAAAAAAAAAAGTAGTAACAAGCCTTCCTTTTAAAGCAAATGAGGAAGTAGTGGTTTAATACATAATGAGAGATTTCTGGAAGATGGAAGTTTTGAGAGATCACATCTACAACAGAGACAATAAGAATCTACACTAGAAAGCAGAAGGCCCTGACAGGTGTTACATTAGTAAAGGGAATAAAACCCTGTGGGTGGAGTAGGAACTCAGGAAGGAAGTCAACCTCACCCAGGGAGGCCAGGTTGCTGTAGTTCTCCATCATCACATCCAGGTACAATTTCCGCTGAGCTGAGTCCAGGCATGCCCACTCCTCCTGAGAGAAATCTATGGCCACATCCCTGAAGGTCAGCGGTCCCTGAAAGAAAAGACACATTCACTAAGAGACAGCAAGCAGAGTTCATAATGTCAGCCAACATGAAAACAGTGTTAGGAGAAGTGCTTTCAACCTAGGGAAGTATCCTGAATCATCCAATAAGATTGCTCTGGCCCAATAACATTCTCTGGTGTGTTTTCTAACAGTGACAAATGAGGAAGACACATGTCCAGAAATTCATGGTGCGGATTTTACTTTTCAGAAAAATAAATCTTAAAATTAAGGCATCAACATAGGCATATGGGTTTCTGAGTGCTGTGTTTGCATCATTCAGGGTCAGTGGTGTATATTTCTCAGCGGGAAATGTCATGGTGACTTGGAGGCATAAGCACTTCTTCAAGTGTAACAGACGACGACAGCACTCTTCTAAAAATACAGATGTTGATCCAGGTCCTGAGATGGGGCCTGTGTTTCCACATGTGTAACAAGCTCACTCTTTACTTGTGGTGCCAATGTTTCCAATCCATGTGCCATATTTTTGAATACACAGAAAATGAAATCACAGAAAAAAAGTTCGTATATAACTTTGAACTCAGGGGGTTTGTCAATGGAATTTACAGATTTCCTGGGATAAGACATATAGGAGCCACAATCCTATTTGAAAATTTACTATGAGTAATCTAAAATAAGATTATTCTGCCTGGTCTAGAGGGTGTGTCTCAGTGGTTGGGCACTGACCCATTAACCAAGAGGTCACTGGTCAGGACACATGCCCAGGTTGTGGGATCGATCCCCAGTGTGGGGTGTGCAGACAGCAGCTGATCAATGATTCTGTCTCATCATTGATGTTTTTATCTCTGTCTCCCTCTACCTTCCTCTTTGCAATCAATAAAAATGTACTTCAAGAAGGAGAGAGGGAAATATAGCAACTGCTGACGCTATCGTAAGAAAATAGAAAAGGCCCTAGCCGGCTTGGCTCAGTGGATAGAGGGTCCGCCTGCGGACTGAAGGGTCCCGGGTTCGATTCCGGCCGAGGGCACATGCCTGGGTTGCGGGCTCGTTCCCCAGTAGGGGGTGTGCAGTAGGCAGCCAATCAATGATTCTCTCTCATCATTGATGTTTCTATCTCTCTCCTCCCTTCCTCTCTGAAATCAATAAAGAAATATATTTTAAAAAAAAAAAGAAAAAGAAAATAGAAAAGGAATAAGGAAAGGAAAACAACATGGCAAGGCAAAACATCAGGAGTAGAGAAATAAATCCACAGATGTTAGAAGAAAAGCAATCATAGCCTCTGTCACAGGACACATCTTTTACCTGAGAAGCAGCCATTTGGTCCTGGTCCTGATCAGGGTCGGGTTGTTTCCTCAGGAGACAATATGTTGAGGAGTCACAGAATGTGCCTTCAAAGGTGTCCCCACAGCCTGTTAATCAGCTCACCTCACACTCACAGTCAGAAGGACCTGGAAATGAGGAAAAGGCCACACCCTCCTGTCCTTTGTCACAGGAGAGAGTCAGGAACAATGAGCCCCTACATGGAGACCACACTGTGAGGTGTTTCATTCTGTCTTCATGTGTTTATCTTTCCAAAGACTTCCACAAACTCCTACAGCAATGAGAGCATGTTCTGCTCGGCTATATCCCCAAACCCAACACAAAACCCCTCATCTCCCCTGAAAAAGCCTGCCCTGTGGGCCCTGACCTGGCATCCTTAACTAGTTCCTTCCTAAGGCCTGCGAGGCTCCCCCAGAGCTGTTTTCAGTAGCTCTGGGTACCAGACATCAGACCCAGCAGCCCTGAGACCTCTGGGTAGTGGGAGGGGGTGAAGCAGGAACTTGTACATGTGCAGGTTTCCCAGGCCAATTTCCTTCCTCTTGTCCCAGGAAATTACAGAGAATAGATCTTCATACTAAAGCCTCTGGGGAAAGTTAGCTATTGAAATATGCTCAGCAAATGACTTCACCATGAATAGATGGGCTCTGTGGGAATCAAGTTCAGTTCAATCCAGTCCATCCTTCAACAGTTTCAGAGAATGGACAAGAGGGACTTAGGGGAATGGGTCCTTTGTGGCTCACAGACACTAATTCAACAAGTCACATGAAGGGAAGGAAAGAGGTGCTGAACATTGGACCAACTCACAGAACTAGCTTCCGAGGGTGAAGATCACTGACATCCTTACCAAGTGCACACTGAGATCGCCTCATATTACTGACCCAATGCTAATGAATGTATCGAGGTATGACAGATAGTAGAAATGATACCGGGCTCAGAATCTGAACCACACGCAATATATTTAAAACCAAAAACAATTAGTTTTTTTTATTTTTTAATGTAAGGACTTCTCAGTTTATATTTTTAAAAAGGTTGAGACTTCCTTATATTTAGGAAAGATGATAAGCCATGGTTATTACATGTCACTTATTTAATGACTCCCAGCCAGCATGGCTCAGTGGTTGAGCATCAATCTACAAACAAGAGGGTCACCGTTTGATTCCTAGTTAAGGAATATGCCCTGGTTTTGAGCTTCATCCCCTGTGTGGGAGGTGCAGGAGGTGGCTGACCAATAATTCTCTGCCATCGTTGATGTTTCTCTCTCTCTCCCTTCCTCTCTGAATTCAATAAAAAAAAATTTTTTTTAAGAGTTAATGACTATATACATGAATGAAATGTCAGAGATAGAAAATACAAGTCCATAGGAGAGAAAATATAATGGAATGTTTCTAATATTCCTTGATAAAGCATCATGTGGGGGCAGACTCAGTTATTTCTTGTCCCAGGCCACCTCCTTCTTGCCATCCCAGGAAATGACAAGGGTCCCATGACCAACAGACCGGTCTCTTCTCTACGTGTGAATAAGACTTGCAAATGGAAGCAAATAATTCTAAAATATTCATAAGCTTTATAAATTGAAGATCTGTAATTCTCATTCAAATATGTTTAAATAATTCACTTGTTAAATGAAACACATAAAGCCACAAGCTGATATATCAAAACTTAACCATCCACATCCCATTAGCTCACTATTCATCCAGATCAGTATTCCCCTCCTTCCCACTACTACGCATTTCTGTCTATGGATCTGTTTCTGTCTTACTGTTCCCTTTCTCTCCACTGTTGTCCTTTCCTGTGTTCCCCTCCCTCACTCCTATTTCACCTTTAGTTGCCCTTTCTCCCTGGTCTTTCTGATTGTTCCCATCTCCATACACACCTGGGTCTTTCTCTGCCCACCCGTGTCCCTTCTGCCGGCCCTCTTACAGTCTGTCCTGTTACCCACAGCTGGCTGACTCAGTGCTGCTTCTCCCTCTGCACTGTCATCCCTACAATTAAAAAAAAAAGAAAGAAAGAAAAAGAAACACAGGTCAATATCCATAAAGAAACCTCATGAATATTCAGAGCAGTTTCTGTAACTGAGAAGAATAATAAAGACAGGTTAAGCAAGTAAGAAAAAATAGCTCAAATAATGTTAACATTGTATGTAGAAACAGGTACACCTATAAGAACTAGCTATATCTATAAAGAGCCGGCAGCCGTCACATCCAAAACAACCAAACAGGCTGAGTGGGGTGACCAGGCCGGCAGGGGGTTAGTGAGGGATAACCAAACGACTGAACAGCAGGCTGCGTGGGGCGACCAGGCCGGCAGTGGGGGGCAGTGAGGGGTAACGAGGCCAGCGGGGGAGGGGGAGGCATGCTCTTGGGGGCAACCAGGCCGGCAGAGGGGGGAAATGAGGGGCTACCAGGCCAGCGGGGGGGGGCAGCGGGTGGGGGGGGGCAATAAGGGGTGACCATGCTGGCAGGGTGGGCCAGTTTGAGGTGACCAGGCTGTCAGGGGGGGCAGTTAGGGGCAATCAGGCAGGCAGGCAGGTGAGCAGTTAAGAGCCAGTGGTCCAGGATTGTGAGAGGAATGTCCAACTTCCCAGGATCGGGCCTAAACCGGCAGTTGGACATCCCCCGAGGGGGTCTCGGATTAGAGAGGGTGCAGACTGGGTTGAGGGGACCTGATCCCTATGAACTACTTTCCTACACCAGTCCTCTAGTGTCCAATATAAAAGAGATAGAAAACAGAATAGTCAGCACAATGAAATCAAGATTATTTTGTGATTCCATAAATTTCATGGATCTATTTGTGAAAAGATACCCATTGTGTATTATAAACACAATAAGGCAAGGAGTTCACATGATGATAGAAAACTAATTAGCCCTATTGTTTCTTAGACACTCATTTATTAGAAAATTTCTGTGTATCATTAATGGAGAGCTACGATCATAGAAATTTAACTGAATTGAAGATATATTAATAATATGACTCTTGTAAACAATCCACAAAATTCAAAAAGTGATCATGTACAGTATATGCCCATCTGGGACATGAGTATAAAATATAATGAATATTCACAGGAGCAAGGTCTGATTGGTTAAAGTTCCTATGTCAAAAAGCCAATGATCTGTAGGTTATAAAAATAGGGTGTCCGCCGAAACCAGTTTGGCTCAGTGGATAGAGCGTCGGCCTGCGGACTGAAAGGTCCCAGGTTCGATTCCGGTCAAGGGCATGTACCTGGGTTGCAGGCACATCCCCAGTAGGAGATGTGCAGGAGGCAGCTGATCGATGTTTCTAACTCTCTATCTCTCTCCCTTTCTCTCTGTAAAAAATCAATAAAATATATTAAAAAAAAATAGGGTGTCTATTTTCCAAAGAAAATAGAAACTAGGACAAAGTAGGGCATTTCTGGATGGTCTTGGCACATCTCTCAATAAATCCCTACTACTAAAATAGAAACTAGGACAAAGTAGGGCATTTCTGGATGCGAGATGATGGTCTTGACACATCTCCCAATAAACCCCTACTACTCCCTTGTTCCTGAGAGAGGGAGACTATTAACTCCACAGTGAAGGGAGCACCTCTGCCACGTGATCATCAGGTGGACTGAGACAATGGGCATCAGGTGACTGAAGCACACGGAAGGACAGGTCACCACTGCTGACATTACTGGCAAACACATATCAATAAAGAAATAATTATGTGAAAATGATCACAAATACACATTAATTTTTGCAAGTGTAATCCACGTGTACCTCTCATGTTCTATAAGCTACTGGTACATTTAAATACCAAGGCTTTCATATTAATATAGTGAGCAAGTCTCTTCTCTTTACTCTTCTATCAGAACTTTCTGAGCTATTCTGAGCAGTGAGATGTGCATCTTCTTACCCCTGATCTAGAGCTGATGCTGTGGTTATGTGAACCTAACACCCACATTTATTTACCTTCTTCACTGGTATCCGAGCCTCTGACCCATCCCAGTAGGGATGTTAGACATGGCTGCCTTTCCAAGTGGATCAGTCACAAAAGGGATTTTTTGAGTAGTTGAGAGTCATTAATTAAAGGTGGGAACGCTTCCTGACCTTATGGAGGCTGCATAAAATGAATGCAGAGAAGCCTCTGGGACAAAGGAGGGAATTATAGCCCGGCTAGTGTGGCTGAGAGGTAGAGAGTTGATCTAGGAACTGGAGGACAGGGTTGGATTCCAGGTCAGGGCACACTCCAGGTTTCAGACTCAATCCACATTGGGGGTGAGGGGTGCAGGAAGTAGCTGATCAATGATTCTCTTTCTTTATTGATGCTTCTCTCTCTTTCGCCCTCTCCTGTCTATTCTAAAATCAATAAAAATGTATTTTAAAACGAGAGAAAAAGAAAATAAAATAGGGGAAAAAAGAAAAATATAGAAACTGCTGACATTGACTATGATGAAAAAAGTGATGAAATAAGAAAAGAAAAACAATCTGCAAATGAAAGAAAATCAGAAATAGAGAAATAAATCACCATATGTTCGAGGAAAAGCAAACACATCCTGTGACCCAACACATCATTTACATGCAAAACAGCCATTTGGTCCTGGTCCTGATCAGGGTCAAGGGTTGTCTTCTTAGGTGACAGTATGTTCAGGAGTCACAGAATGTGCCTTCAAAGAAGTCAACACAGCCTCTTCTTAATCAGCTCACCTCACACTCAGTCAGACGGAGCTGGAAATGAGGAAAAGGACATCCCCTCCTGTCCATAGTCACAGGAGAGCGTCAGGAACAATGAGCTCCTACATTGAGACCACACTGGGAATTTTCAAGTGTGTGTCTTAATGTGGCTCTCCTCCCAAAAACTTCCACAAACTCATACAAAAATGAGGTGAGCTGTTGTCCTGACCCCCAAGACCAAACAGAGCACCCCCTTACCTCTCCTGAACAAAGCCTGCTCACCACTCTCAAAAGAGGCATCCTGCATGCACCCCTCCTGCTAATCCCTCTCCCCACCTTCTAATCACCTGGAGCATCTCAGTAACCAATGATGCCCCACCCAGAGCAGCTGTCCAACACCATGGGGGAAAGTGCACCTGAGGACATTTCTTAAAGCT